ATGAACCCGAGTACGAAGTGGAGCGCGTTCTCACTCATCGGCGCCGCGGCGGCAAGACCCTCGATTTCCTGATACGCTGGAAGAGATACGGCCCCACTGAGGATAGTTGGGTTGCAGAAGCTGATATGGGCAACGCACGCCGTGCTCTCACGGCCTACCTTGTCAAGCAGGGTGTATCTCACGCCACCCAGCTTTGAGGGGGGGACGTGTGAGAGTACGACAGCTTATGCTAGCTATGCTTGCTTGCCTTTACTTTATTATGCTATTTCTAGCATATGATAATCATATGCATGCATGAATTGCTTGAATTTCTAGGCTAGGTGCTTTCCTATATTTTATTATAGTTATAGCACTGAGCTAGGTTGCGTGCAAGAATTCTGGCTTTTCGGTTGCCACCGAATTGCCTTCTACCGAATTCGGGAAGGATCTGTTCGGGACGCTTCGCGACCCGCCGAACCTTCGCGTAACACCTGGTTACGGGACCTTGTGTTGAGCCTATATATAGCCTCGTGTTGTACCCAGGTGATCATTCAATTCAATTCAAACTCTCTTTTCTGAGCTCGATCCTAGATCCTGACACCCACCCCGAAGATGACCACTCTTCGGGTGCTACTGCACGTTGCCGCTCAACGTGACTACGAGCTTCACTCTCTTGACTTCAGCACAGCTTTCTTGCAGGGCAGCCTGCACGAGGAGATCTGGCTGCGCCGCCCTCTTGGCTTCACTGGGTCGTTTCCTCCTGCTACCAAGTGGAGCCTCCGGCGGCCGGTCTACGGTCTCCGCCAGGCGCCACGTGAGTGGCACGACACACTGAGGACTACACTTGCGGCTCTTGGGTTCGCGCCTTCTACTGCTGACCCGTAGCTGTTTCTGCGCACCGACACTTCGCTGCCGCCGTTCTACATCCTTGTGTACGTCGACGACTTGGTCTTTGCCACTGCTGACACTGAGGCTCTCGCCCTGGTGAAGTCGGAGCTGCAGAAGAGACACACGTGCACAGACCTGGGTGAACTGCGCAGCTACCTTGGCTTGCAGATCACCCAGGACAGAGCACGCCGCACCATCACACTGACTCAGTCACACATGGTGCAGCAGGTCCTTCAGTGCTTCGGCTTCACCTTGTCCTCGGCACAGCCGACTCCTTTGGCTACAGGTCACTCGCTCTCAGCTCCACCTTCGGATGAGTCCGCAGAGCCGAGTGGTCCTTACCCAGAGCTAGTTGGCTGCCTCATGTACCTGATGACTTGCACTCGTTCTGACCTCGCATACCCTCTTGGCCTTCTGGCTCGCTACGTGGCTCCTGGTCGGCACCAAAAGGTGCACATGGATGCTGCTAAGAGGGTACTACGCTACTTGTGCGGTACATCAGGCATGAAGCTCATGCTTGGAGGGAGGAGCTCAGTTGTTCTCACTGGGCACTCAGACGCTTCTTGGGTTGACGACCATGCTACTCAGCGGTCGTCATAGGGTTACACCTTCAGCCTTGGCTCTGGTTCAGTTTCTTGGCATTCTACACGTTTGGCTTCAATTCTCAGCTCCAGTTGTGAGGCTGAGATCTACGCCATAGCCATGGCTGCACAGGAGTTACGCTGGCTCACCTACCTGCCTCATGTACCTGATGACTTGCACTCGTCCTGACCTCGCGTACCCTCTTGGCCTTCTGGCTCGCTACGTGGCTCCTGGTCGGCATCGAAAGGTGCACATGGATGCTGCTAAGAGGGTACTACGCTACTTGTGCAGTACATCAGGCATGGGGCTCATGCTTGGAGGGAGGAGCTTAGTTGTTCTCACTGGGCACTCAGACGCTTCTTGGGTTGACGACCAGGCTACTCAGCAGTCGTCATAGGGTTACACCTTCAGCCTTGGCTCTGGTTCAGTTTCTTGGCGTTCTACACGTTTGTCTTCAGTTCTCAGCTCCAGTTGTGAGGCTGAGATCTACGCCACAGCCATGGCTGCACAGGAGTTACGCTGGCTCACCTACCTGTTGACCGACTTGGGAGAGCGGCCTCGTTCTCCTCCAGTGCTGTACGTCGACAACAAGGCTGCCATTGCCTTGTGTGAGGAGCACAGACTGGAGCACAAAACGAAGCACATCGCTTTGCGTTACTTCCTGGCTCGAGAGTTGCAGCAGCGTGGTCAGCTTCGTCTGCGTTACGTGGCCACTCGGGCCAACACTGCTGATATATTCACCAAGGCACTTCAGTCTGGTGATCATCAGCGTTTCTGCACTATGCTAGGGCTTGTGCCCACTTTTCCTCACTTGCTGTAGGCTTTGCTTGTACTGTGATATATATATACATATACCTGCATGCTTGCTTTGCTAGGTAGAGATCAATGTGATGTTTGTGTTACATATATGCCTCTGCATGTGAACTGGCCTTGTGGCCCCTTGCTCGAGCTCAGTGAGTGTGGTGACGTTGTGATCCACCCTGAGCTTGCTTTGCCTTTCTTGACTGGTCTTGTGACCCCTTGCTCTCCCCCACTTTGCCTATGGGGGTGTGTCAAATGTTATATCTGCTATAGTTTGTTTAGGTTGTAGTGGGGTAGATACTATGGGGTACAGTAAGTTTAGGATTTCCTACTTGTAACCAACCCTTTTCCTAGTGCAATCACTTCTCTCATTCTAACATCAGCCTACATGTTTCACCCCTACCCCCAGCCCACATGCTTCGCCCCTTCATCAAGACACTTCCTTGAAACCCCAAATCCAAACGATGTTCACAAGCGGCTCTTGACTAGACGGCAACGCCATTAGGGGTGATGAAAGCAAGCGGGGCACTACGGGACATCCTGTTCCTAACCCATACCACCAATGATGTAGCTCACAAGCAAACAAGGAGACCACTCACAACCAGTAATGTGTGAATCCTCTCTACTATGTGCCACCGGTTCGTTACGCCATTCTATTGTTGAATTGATGCAATAATCAGTGAGCTCGAACAAAGCTTCAATCTTCAATTGCTTTCAAAGCTTCTTCTGGGAACTTGCCGCCCCTGATTCAATGGGGAATTCTTAGCTGAGGCATTGATTCCAACTCCACCTTTACGTGCCATTGGCGAAGGACAGTGCGGCAACGCAAAGTATTACGGTTACGAAGAGAGAATGACCAACATATTCGGTAAAGTTGTTACTTAGACTGAGTCTATACCATCTTCTCAAAGATGGTGCGTACACAGGTCTCCGCGATAGTAAACAAACTTAATCCCATGGGCCAAGTGTTTGCAATGCATCTAGGGAAAATCAGGTTGAAATTCACAATAGGCAGGTCTCACAAGGAAAACAATCTGCAATTCCCCCCCAACAATCCATGCACTTTAGACTTCCGCAACGAGCCATTTGTTATGATAACGACATCATGGTAAAATTGGTGGTAAGCAACGGTAGAGATGAGAAAGTAGAAGGATCCAACTGTCGAAATCACTAGGCAGGAATGATTGAGTTGAGCAGAATGATGAGTACTAGTATGCAACCCTTAAGTGCTGTACTCACTAGAGTATGCCCCACTACAGCCTAGAGACATACAAGCATAATTTGACGCACTCCCATAGACAAAGTGGGGGATAACAAACACAACAAACGCTTACAAGACCAGTCATGCAAGAGAACAAGACAAAGCAAAGCTTAGGGTGGATCTCAAGGACACCACACACTCCGAGCACAAGCAAGCGGTCACAAGGCCAGTTCATATGCAGAGTTAATAATAACAAGGTAGTACACTGATCACAACCTAGCAAGAGTAAACATGCAGATATAAGCATATATAGCAGTGTACAACAAGTGCAAGGCAAGATCAAGAGACAAGCAGGTGAGGCACAGTGGGCAGAAGCCCAAGAGCAGTGTAGAAACGCTAATGATCACCAGACCCAAGGGCCTTGGTGAAGACATCAGCAGTGTTGGCCTAAGATGCCACGTAGGAAAGGCGAAGCTGCCAACACTGCTGCAGCTCTCGAGCAAGAAAGTAGTGAAGACCAATATGTTTTGTTCTGTGCTCCAGTCACTGCTCGTGACACAAGGCAAGCATGGCCTTGTTGTCGACGTACAGGACTAGAGGAGAACGAGGCCGCTCCCCCAAGTCGGTCAGCATGTAGGCCAGCCAGCGTAGCTCCTGTGCAGCCATAGCCCCAGCATAGATCTCGGCCTCACAGCTGGAACCAAGCACAGAAGACGAATGAGCGGACCTCCACGGGACAGAACCAGAGCCAAGACTGAAGGTGTAACCTTGACGACCACTGAGTCGCCTGGTCGTTGGCCAAAGAAGCATCTGAGTGACCTGTGAGTACCACTGAGTCCCGTCCTCCAAGCACACGCCCCATGCCCGATGTGTTAGAAGGAAATGATGCCATGAGCAACAAAATGTCTGCGCTAGGATTCGAGCTCCTGCCCTTCAAATCTGTCCTAAAAGTGTCTCAAGACAGATTCAGGGCAGTTTTTGCTAAGGCGTTGGTTATGGTGCACGCGAGTTTCGAACTGGAAAACTTTCGATTCAAGTGTTCCGAAGTGTCTTGTCAAACATATTGGGGACAGATTGGGGACAGTTTGGCAAAATCGATATTTGATCGCGTTCGGTTTGAAACTCGGCAGCGAAGTGTCGAAGTCAATGGAATTTGCACGGGAGTAACAGTCGGTGGTCGACGGAATTCTAGTCGCGGAAATACTCGTCTATGGAATTCCAGTCAATGGAATTCGCCCGGCAAGATTCAAGGCTCGAAATTTCGCGTCGACGAAATTCAGCGCGCGGCCCGGGTCGACACTTTCTTATGTGCTTTTATTTTGTATTGCGTCCTAGTATAAAACCGGAGGGCACAAACCAGAAATCAACTAAGTCATTATCACTGCTATGTTTGTGTGTATCTCTGGCTATAGTGGACCGTAACCTGCAATCTTTAGTGCGTTGGAATCGGGCTTTCAAGCTCGATCAAGCTGCTATAGTAGGTCAGGAGCTGGAGGCATCCGTTTGTGGGCACCACCCTAACTTGCGCGATGAGGAGATCGGCCTTATTATGGATGGTCGTCTACTACGCTTGGTCCGGGAACGTGCAGCGGAGCAACCACCTGTGGGCTGCCAGCAAGGGGGAGCTGGTGGGGGAGGAGCTGAGCATGAGGCTCCTGTTGCTGTAGGCATTGATGGAGGAGCTGTTGCACCGACCATTGACATGGGAATGATCGGCACGAGCTATGGAGATGAGCACATCTCCGTGACGCCGCTGCTGGAGGGAAGACACGACCTTACCGCATGGGACAACACCAAGCCTGGCCCCAAACAACCCTGTGCAACGAAGAGAGTACGCGAAGGGCCAAATGCTTGCATTCATGGTGCTGAATTGTTGTGTTTCCCCACCCATCCAAATGTCCATCTCTGGTTTCTCTCAGCAAGAGAAAGCCGGGCAAATGGCATGGGCATGTATCTTGTCGACGTACCAAGCTTGTGATGCCCTCCACGCCTCCCTATTTCAGACCCAGCTAGCCCAACCCAGGAAGGGAGATGACAAGACGGCCGAATCCTACTAAAACAATACTCGCACCATTCCAGCGGAGCTGCTGACCATTCGACAGCAGGTCCATATGGCCACGTTCATTGCGCATGTGTTGAAGGGACTGCCGCCGGAGTATGGATTTCTTTGCTGCAAGCTCAACATTTCTAGCCGAGAGATGACGGTCAAACGTGTGTCCATTGAGGTGGTGATGGAGGAGCAGACCCTTTCCATCAAACAGAGCTACAAGCAGATCACCAGTGATGCATCGGCTTTCTATGGCGCTGTCAACACAATCGTGGCTACAACGGGGGTCAACGGGAAGGAAGGGAAAGGAGGAAGGGAGCAGATGGACAAGAAGAAGGATGGCAAGCGGGAGAAGAAGCGAGCTCCCTTCAAGGGGCGCTGCAACTACTGCAATAAGGAGGGGTACATGGCTGCCAAGTGTCCGAAGAAGAAGGATACAATGCCCACGGCAGCCGCGAACGTAGCCGAAGGAGACGGGAAGGGCGTGGTGCTCACCGTCGTGTGTTTGGTTGCGAAGTTGCTGGTCGACGACAAGAACTTGTGGTTCCTTGACTCGGGATGCTCCCAACAAATGACAAGCTGCAAGGAGACATTCATGGCGATCCGTGACCCATCTGCAACGAAATCCGTCAAAGGGTTTGATGGTACTATGCAGGAATTCGCCGGTGTTGGTGAGGTTTTGCTGGAGGGCACTAACGGCTTGCGTGTGACCCTGCATGTTATCCTCTTTGTGCCAAGAATGAAGGCCAATTTGGTCACCCCTGGGCAGCTCACGGAAAAAGGAGCAAATCTGCAAATCGAAGAAGGTGTCACCTGCGAAGATAACTACTACAACGGGAGCTTAGAGTACTGGCTAGGCACGTGTGCTCGTGTGATGTCTGCGTTCGTTGGTCCTTAGACGTTTTCCTAGTGCTCACACTGCTTGCTAGTTCACGGGGCAGTTTGGCAAGAGTTTCACTAGAGAAAGTTGTCAATAATGGTCCAATGAAGTTGGCAATGCAAGACTACATCAGAGCTAGCATTCAGGTTGGTCGACTGCCAGCACAGCATGGTCGACCGCGTTCCAGCACGACTTGGTCGACCACGCTACAGCAGTGCAAAGTCGACAGCTTGCCAACGCTGCAGGTTGACGGTGTGCCAGCATTGCTCACGCAGGACAGCAGTGCACCCGCTTTGCAGGTGCGCGCAGATGATTGGCATGCAAAGTCTCGTCACCTGCACAGCGCACACACCACGTCAACCTCGGGCTAGCGACTGCCTCTGATCCGCCACGACGACCTCGGGATACCACCATGGAGGTCGGTCTCGCCAACTTCGCCTGGGTGACCGTCGCACTCCTTCGCAGAAACTCGTCACCCAGGTATCCTGGTCGACCGGGCAACTATGTCGACCAGCTGCTCCTGTATGTGCTCTTCGACCTCCCAAGTCGACAACCACACCAGGTCGACCTCACCAGGTCGACCACTCCTCCGGTCGACCAGATCCAGGTCGACGTCACTCCTGGTCGACCAGTGCAGTTGTCAGCTACCCAAGTCGGCGTCACCAGGTCGACGTGCCACATCGCCGACCACCAGTTGAAGTCGGCCGCTGGCTTCCCAAGTCGGCGGTATTGCAGTGGCGCCGTGCAAGTCGACCAACCCCGTCGACCAGCTCGTCCAAGTCGGCGTCGCCCACTGCTGCAAGTCGGCTGTACCTTCCGTACACCCCACCACGAAGTCGGCTCCGCCCAAGCGTGGACGGGGCCAACACACAACTCCCGTTGACACTCCCCTGCCGCGTTCACGCTTGGCCCCCCCAAGTCCACTCGGCAGTACTCCTCGGAGAATAGCTCGTCGACGTGCACCCAACACACAGGACGTCGTCCACCGCACCAGCCATGCAAGAGGGCATGGCACCTACTGCTGCACGTTGTCATCTTCGTCGCCCACGTCGGCCAAGCGCACCTGGCCGATGGCGACGGAGCATCGGTTGAAGGCCGGATAGTGCAGCGCCTTCGTCAGGAAGTCGGCCGGCTGCTCAGTGGTCGGGATGTACCTCAGCGAGAACTTCCCGCGCTTCACCATGTGCTGCAGCCAGGCCTGTCGCCGCTCCATGTGCTTGAGGTTGCCCGTCAACCCCATGCCCTCGACGACTGTGATGGCCGACTTGTTGTCCACCCGAAGGACGGTCGGCTTCCCGGCATCCAGCTGCCGGAACTCTGCAAGGAGGAAGCGAAGTCGGCGTCCTTCCTTGCCGGCCTCGGTGGCTGCCACGTACTCCGACTCAGTCGATGACAACGTCGCACACTTGATGCGCTGGCTCGACCAGGAGACTGCGGCCCCTCCATAGACGAACACGTAGCCACCCGTGCTCGTCCTATTCTGCTTGTCACCGGCGTCGTCGGCGTCCACATAGCCGACCAGCTCCAGCGACTCAGGTCCACCGCCGAACTCCAGTGCGGTGTCGCGCGTATTGGCGAGGTAGGCGAGGCAGCGGTCGACCTCGCGCCAGTGCTGGTCACTCCTCACCGTGAGGCCGCTCCCCAGCTTGCTGCAGGCGAAGGCGATGTCCGGCCTCGTCGTCGTTGCCGCGAACTGCAGCGAGCCGACCTTCTGCCGGTACTCCTCTTCCTGCCGCTCCTGTGCCTCCTCGTCATCGAACGTGAGCTCGGCGTAGGCATCGACCGAGACCGGCGTCTTCGGGGTGCGCCCGGTCTGCTCCTCGTCGATGAAGCGCCTACGAAGCTTGTCGGCGTAGCCCTGCTGGTGCAGCCACAGCTTCCCCGCCGACCTGTCGCGGACGATCTCCAGCCCGAGGTACTTCTGCACCGGCGAGATCTCACGCAGCTCGAAGGCGGCTTCCAGAAGCTCCTTCAGCTCCTTCAACATCGCGGCGCTACTGCTGGCGGCAAGTAGGTCGTCGACGTAGACCAGCATCCAGCAAGCCACTCCGTCCTTGAAGTAGAGAGCCTCGTCGACCTGGCTCTTCTTCCACCCGGCGCCGACCAGCACGTCATTGAGCGCCAAGTACCATAGCAGCGGCGACTGCTTTAGCCCGTACAGGCTCTTCAGCAGCTTGCACACCCGGCCGGTCCCGTCGTTGAAGTAGTCCGGCTGGGACATGTAGAGCACCCTGTCGAGCTTGCTCTGCAAGAAGGCGTTCTTCATGTCGAGCTGCATCAGGTTGAGGTTGCGGACGGCGACGATGCTGAGGAAGATCCTCAGCGTGACGTAGCTGCCCACCGGCGCGAACGTCTCGTCGTAGTCGGCGCCGTACACCTGCGTGAAGCCCTTCACAACCAGCCTCGCCTTCTCGCGCTCGACGGTGTCGTCGACGTGGTACTTCGTCGTCAACACCCACCGGTTCTTCATGACGTTCACTCCCGGCGGACGTTCGACCAACTCCCACGTTCCCATGTTGAGGAGGCTGCGAATCTCCTCCTCCATGGCGGCCTTCACCGCCGGGCCCTTCCAGCTCGCCAACGCCTCCTTCACCGTCATCGTCGAGATGTCCCAACGGTGCTCGGGGTCGGCTAGCATGTCGGGGTCGAGCTCTGGAAACTCCTCATCCTCCTCGGCATCGTCGTACAGCAGGTCGTCGGCCTCATCGTCCACGTCGTACACCGTGGTGAAGGCAGCGGGGACGAAGAAGTCAGGCGGTCTCCGAAGTCGGCCTGAACGCCGTGGTCCTGGCTGGACCTCCTCGGCGTCCCCTCCATCGTTGCTGTTGTCGCTGCCCTCGGCGTCCTGCTGCTCCTCAGCCGGCGTCCCAGCCGACTTCTCCCCTATGGTCGGCTCCCCTGCCGACTGCCCGGTCGCCGACTGCTCCTTGGTCGGCGTCACTGCTGCCTGCTCTTTTGTCGGCCGCTGGTCCTCGACCTGCTTCTCGACCTGCTCCTCCCCTGTCGACGTCGACTGCAATCCCACGTCGACCTGCCGCTCGTCACGTCGGCCACCGGCGATGCACTTGGCCGAAGGCGACGTCCCACTACTCCCCTCATCGCCGGAGGCCGACACCGAGGTCAGCCCACGCAGGTCGGCCACGAGGGGAGGGGCAGGGGTCGGAGGGGGAGGGGTAGGGGGGCGGACGTCCTCGACGTCCGTAATAGCAAGCTCACCGACCTCGGCAAGCAGTGGCAGCGTCGCCGACGAGGTGTCAGAGGGCGGGGTGGGCGACGAGCGGCCGGACACCGACTCGTACTCCGTCTTCCACTCGGCCTGCGACAGCTCCTCGTAGAACACCACATCCGACGTGGTGACCACCCGGTCGGCGTCGACGTCGAGGAGCTCCCAGCCCTTGCTCGCCGCCGACACGCCAAGGTGCAGGCCCCACCTGGCCTTCGGCTGCAGCTTCCCACCACGCTGCTGCTCGGTGACTAAGAACTGCGCCATGCAGCCCCACACCCGTGCCAGCGACAAGTCGGGCTTCTTCCCGGTCAGCAGTTGGTACGGCGTCGTCCCCGGCGGCAGCGCCGACCTCTCAAGGCAGTTGCGGACCCAGACGGCCTGCCGGAGAGCGAGGTGCCACCAGTGGTGCTGCACGCCCATGTGCAGCAGCATTGTCCGCACCGACTCCACCACCGTCCTCATCTTCCGCTCCGCCATGCCGTTCTGCTGCGGGGTGTATGGGCAGGTCAGGTCGTGGACGATCCCCTTGCCGTTCACGAAGTCGGTGAACTGCTTCCCGAGGAACTCCCCTCCCCGGTCAGAGCGCCGGATTAACACCGACCTCTTCGTCTGCCGCTCAGCCACTGCCAGCCACTGCACGAACGCCGGCAACGCATCTGACTTCTTGGTGACCGGCTTCACCCACACGTAGCGGGTCTTGCGGTCCTTCAGCAACAAGAAGTACAGGCTGCCATCCTTGGCAGCCACGCGGAAGGGCCCGCACAGGTCGATGTGCACGACGGCCAGCACATCGTCGGCGTCGGAGCCTTGGTCGGGGAAGGTGTGCCGCGCCAGCTTCCCGCCGACGCACGAGACACACGGGGAGTCGGCGCCCGTCGCCGACTTGGGGTCCAGCCCAATGGCGACCTCGTTCTTCGCCGAGCTCCGTATGGTGTCCATGCCGACATGTGCAAGCCGGGCATGCATACGGTCCGGCGTCGACTTCGTCTTCGAGACGATCGCCCGCAGAGCCACAACCTCCGTCGTGGGCGACGTCGACCTCGTTGAGCAGGGACGCAGGTCGGTGCAGAGGACACGCCCGGAGTACGTCGCCCGACCGAGCACCTCTCCCGTTGCCGAGACGAGCACCATCCCGTCGCCGTCCTCTTGCAGCTTCACGCCGTGCTCCTTAAGCTGGCCGGACGACAGCAAGTTCGCCCGCACACCCGGGACGTACAACACGTCGGGGATGAGCACCTGCTTCCCGGCCTCCCCTTGCAGGGCGACGGTGCCGCTGCCCTGAACGTCCTGCAGCGCCCCATTGAAGCCGCGCACGTGCTTGATGGAGCCACTCGGCTGCAGGTCAACGAAGGCTTCCTTCGTTCCCATCAGGTGGTGGGAGCAACCGCTGTCGAGCAGGACCACCGCCGGGTTCGCCTGCACAGCCGCCGCCACCGCCTGGAAGTCCTCTCCGGCCTCCGGCGCCAGAGAGATGGTCGGCTCCACGACGCCGACCAGCGAGCACGACGCCATTTTGTCGTCTCGCCCCTTGCCGCCTGCAACGGAGTCGGCGTCCTTCGCCGAAGTCGATGCCTTGGTCGACTGTTTCTCCTTGCGCGGATGATTTCCTCCACGACGAGGACGACGGCTGCCAGACC